GGAAATGCGTTTTTCTAAGGTACATAAAATTTTGGGATTGACTGTATAGCCAATACATCCTTAATCCTGTCTCAGTACCGTCAACTCGAATTTTAGTTCGCGATCATGGAGGTGGTCGTAACATCCATACAGGATGGTTTCCCGAATTTTGTGAAGCGTCACCTGGTTTGCCACGAGATGTTAGTGCTTTTGGTCTGCGTTATATCATTTTTGTTGGGCCTGCCTAACATTTCACAGGTAATTAGATATTTTATTAATGAAATATGAAGTATGAATCATGCAAAATATCTAATGTTTCACGTTCCATAGGGCGGAATATACTTTTTCCAACTGATAGACCACTACGCGGCCTCGATATCGATCATGTTCCTGGCGTTTTTCGAGGTAATCGCTATTTCGTGGTTCTACGGTGTACGTAGACTGTGCAACAACGTTAAAGAGATGACCGGGAGGCTACCGTCTTTGTATTTCCGATTCTGCTGGCTGATAGCTGCACCGCTTCTCATCATGGTAAATAAATTAATTATGCCCAAATATCTAATAAATCCGTATAAAACTCGAAATGTGCGATATTTGTTTCGAAGGCCGTCTGGGTATTCAGCCTGATCGATTACGAGTCGCCGACCTACCGCAACGGCGAGTATAAGTATCCGGTATGGGCAGAGGCTATAGGATGGGGAATCGCGTCGCTCTCTCTAATTTGCATCCCGGCATTGGCCATTTACGAATTCCTCAGAGCGAACGGCAACACTTACGCCGAGGTATAACCACGCGAGACGTCTAAATGAGCTACGATGTACCTGTTTTATTCTTTTCTCATTTAGAAACTGAGGAATTCCATAAAGCCGCATTTTGAGGCCTGCAAGATCTGCGGACAAGAATACTGCATCGAACCGCTTCACAGTTTCGAGGACGACGTTATCAAGGACCAACAGGATGCAAATATACAGTTGAACATGAACGGTTCGTTATTAAAATCCCAGACGTGATTCAACTAGGATTTTCAACTGACGTAGGACAATTTTTAATAAACCGAATAGAAGAAACAATAATTTTTTTTATAGCAGTTAAACGTTATATTTTCTTTACACGTATGATTTGGAAATAAAAAATTTAATGACAGTCCTGTCCAAAGCAATTGCATTGTCATCGTCGATCAATGTCTCTCGGAATCTTAAAATAATTTTAGTCGTTACAATTGCTACATGACGTTGATAAATTAATTACTCATTGCTTCGAGTAGGATATTGTGAAATACATACAGTACATGTAGATATGTAGAAATTTCACTTTAAATCAACGAAGGACTTACATTATTACATCGTATGCTAAGTAATTAATGAGTACAAATTCCGATAGATATTTAAGTGTACGTAGTATAGAGATTTTTAAAGATTAAGTTTAAATAATAAAGAATATTAGTAGAACGACAATAAGAATAGGAGCGAAGCACTCGTAATGATAGTAACTATAGACAGCAATAATATAAGCTTACCGTCAACGTTTTACTACACGTGATTAGAATACTATACGTAACTTAAGGATGTATTGGCTATACAGTCAATCCCAAAAGTTTATGTACTTTAGAAAAACGCATTTCCTATAATTAAAAAGAAATCAGACGTCGGAAAAATACATGTAGCCTATACATCCTTAAAACGAAGCACGCGTTGCGCATCGACTGAACCATAAGCAATGTAAGTCAGCGTAAACGAAAATTATACTCTTTAAATGTGGATCGATTAGAGGAACACTCGAAATATGTAATTATTTAAAACTGTAATAAATTATTCACAATTTATTCCCTTCTTTCATTTTCAATCATTCTTCCACCTTCATCAAAAGATTTCAGAGTGCCTTTGCAGAAACAAAATTCTGTATGTATCTAAGAGATAAACTTACGGTTAGTTGAACTTACTTATATAAGTTAAAAGGGCTCTCACGCGAATGTGCTTCGATCGAAACGTGAGCGAAACCCTCGCATACTTCTCAAATCGGATTCGCTTAATCGAATTATCAGCCTTCGAACGTTGGTTCACGTTGGGACCGAGTCACTCGCGTCTCATTTCGTGACCGGTTCCCTTCGAGAACTCTTAGGCACCGGCCAACGGGAATTCTGAAACTAAAGAATCTAGCCAGTTCGCGGAAACATTGAAAAATGACGAAGAAGTTTGAGTTCCATTGGCAAATCGAAGTTCCGGAATTGCTAAGAACCGGTAGTACCTTCGACAGGTGGTTCGAGGACAAAGAAAATAGCGAATATGAACCGAATTGTTTATTCAAAGTCGACGAATACGGGTTTTTCATTTATTGGAAGAGCGATGGCAAGGTAAAAGATAAAAGAAGAATTCAATTTACATGATCCTTAGACCCTCTATAATCGATATAAGATGGCTTGTGAGAATTAAATTAAACAGAGTGTAGTCCAATTTTGTTAAATTAAAAATATTCTGATAGGACGGAGACGTGTTAGAGCTGGCTCAAATGTGCGACATTCGTTATGGCGGTACACCTAAGGTAATTCTCTTTAACTTTAATTCGTCATTTTCAACAAAACTGAGTTACAAAAGAAGAAATAATCGATGTAATTGTAATGCTCTCAGGATCCGAAACTGTGCAGTAAAATAAGTAAACACGGCTCGATGGAAGAGATAGATCAAAAGAGTTTAACACTTTGCTCGGGTATAGATTACACTAATATTCACTATCAACACGTTGTGTGTCCCGACGCTCAAACGGCTAAGGTAAAATTATAAATAAAAATAAGAACGATGACTATTACCATTTCTTAATGGACCGGTTAAACTTAGGACTGGCAAGCCGGTTTGCGAATAATCACGCACAACACCAAGGCTTCGAACGTATGCCCGACTATTCAACTGATGAAACAGTAAGTTAATTTCACAATCGAGTAACATACGTGTACTTACTTCTGTGAAACTATTTTAATTTTAATCAAAGTTGGATGAGACTAAGTTTTCAAGTGGACCCAAAAGGGAAAGTACCGGTGAAAGTCATATCGAAAACGTTCGCGTCCGGTAAAACTGAAAAGCTCGTTTCCCAAGGATTGTCAGAGTTGGGATTACCCAGTGGAAAAGTATGCCTCAATTCTCAATCTTATTTATTATTGTTATAACATATGAATATCTTCTACGCGGTATGAACGATATTTCTTTTAGAGCGACAAAATTGAACCGGTAGACTTCACGTTCGAAAAATTCAAGAAGTTATATTTCAAAATCTGTCCCCGAAACGACATCGAAGAACTATTCCAGTCGATGTAAGTAAACTTGATAATTATCGACATTCGACACGATATTCGAAGTACGAATGATTAATATAGAATTTTTAATTTATGAATTCATTAACACGGCACAGATCTCGTTAATCATCGTACTCGTAAATTATCGTATATTTACATTAACATAATTGCATTAACCTGGATCTTGTTGATTCGTCGAATAATTATCGGATTTGTAAAACTAATAATTATTATACATCGCGCAGAACCAAGGGACAAGCAGATACGATATCGTTGGGGAAATTAGTACAATTTATGAACGAAAAACAGAGGGATCCCCGATTAAACGAAATTCTATTTCCTCTTTATGATGAGAAACGATGTACCGAGATAATCAATGATTATGAACTGGATGACAAGGCTAAAAACGCCAGTAAGTCTGTCCCACGATTTCTCCAACATTTATATTGAATTTCGCGAACGGATGTAAAACACGTATCGTAAAAAATTACGATATTAATTATCTGTAGAATCATTAACGAAGGATGGTTTCATTCGCTATTTAATGTCGGACGAAAACGCGCCCGTGTTTCTGGACAAGCTCGAAGAATGGATGGACATGGACCAACCCCTATCGCATTATTATATCAATTCCAGCCACAATACTTACCTAAGTGGTAGGCAAATTGGTGGTAAAAGTACCGTCGAGATGTACAGACAAGTACTACTGGCTGGTTGCAGGTAATAAATATCGATCGATCGCTGCAATTATGTAGTTATTCGCAAGTTGGTTTCGTCGAAACGTATAAAAAATTGTTGACTAAATGAATTAGATGCGTGGAGCTCGATTGCTGGGACGGTAAAGGCGAAGACGAGGAGCCGATCATCACCCACGGTAAAGCCATGTGCACCGACATTCTCTTCAAAGATGTGATTTACGCTTTGAGGGACACCGCGTTCGTCACTTCGGACTACCCGATAATATTGAGTTTCGAAAACCATTGCTGTCTCAAGCAGCAATACAAATTGGCCAAATACTGCGACGAGATCTTGGGAGATCTGTTACTAATGGAACCGATAAAGGATTACCCGGTACGTGATCTCGATGAGGTAAAAACCAAATTAATCTCAAATAATTGAAAAAATAACGCAGCTGGAACCCGGGCATCCGCTTCCACCCCCGAGTGCCCTTAAACGAAAGATATTGATCAAGAATAAGAGATTGAAGCCAGAAGTGGAGAAAGTAGAACTGGAACTGTTCCGTTCGGGGCAATTCGAAGCTAAAGACGAAGTAGTGGAAGACCCCAACGCTCCTGCTCCACCCCCGCAGGTAGACAATATTCGTATTGGACGACTGAGGTATCATCGTTCATTTAAAATTACACGAGAAACGTCGTATTCGACGATTTTAGGAGGAGCCACCACCGGAAGCAGCCCCGGCCGAGGGTGCACCGCCCGGCGAGGGTGGCGAAGGCGGCGAGGCACCCCCTATTCAATACACCGGAAGCACTATGGCCTGCCATCCTTGGTTATCGTCTATGATTAATTATGCGCAGCCTGTGAAATTTCAAAGCTTCGAAACCGCCGAGAGTCAGTATCCAAAGTTCACAATTTCTTCCCTCTTTAAATAAATGTACAAGCTTCGTATCGATCGTTTTTACATATTTTCCACGGGGAGCCCGGCGCACTTCCATTAATTATAATTGTTACCGAAAGATAAATGAACTATTTACATCGCTCGCTTATAAACGTATAAAATCAGATACCGTACTTCATACGATATTTACATTTCTGCGTTTATCGCTCGTTTTCAAAAAGTTCCGACGGAAAATTTATGACCGATACATTTTTCTCTCGATGCGGGTGGTTATAAAAATGTTTTAATGGCGAAAGTATGTATTCTGTCCATTAATAATTTTGTTCTGTACATCGGTACAGTAAAAAGTTGAAACCAATATTTTATAGGCGCGTACGTGAACGTGTGCGCACGCTGTAACACTAATTAGAATAACGAAACGACATTCGTCACTAGGAGGCATATTTCCACGAACGTGTTAATCTTTCAGAGAAAAACATACATCACAATATGTCCTCGTTCTCCGAAACCGCGGCCCTCAATTATCTGAAAACGAACGCAGTGGAATTCGTTAATTATAACAAACGCCAGATGAGCCGAATCTATCCGAAGGGCACCAGAGCTGATTCGTCCAACTACATGCCTCAAGTGAGTCGCGTTTCCTTTGAATCGCTCGTACCGTTCTATTCTTATCGTATAAAACCGATTTTTAGTTTCCGGTTGTAATTCTCGATTTCGTCTTTTAGGTCTTCTGGAACGCTGGCTGTCAAATGGTAGCCTTGAACTTTCAAACTCCGGACTTGCCGATGCAACTGAATCAAGGAAAATTCGAGTACAACGCGACGACCGGTTACCTGTTGAAACCAGATTTCATGAGGCGAGCAGACAAAGTTTTCGATCCATTCTCCGAGGACGTGGACGGCGTTATCACTGCCCAATGTTCAGTCCAGGTAATCTCTCTTTACTATGGGAAACCGAAACGAGAGTATCCTCACGTCGATCGAATTTTTAATCGAAAATGTAATTTATCAGGTGATCGCAGGACAGTTCTTGTCGGACAAAAAAGTAGGCACCTACGTTGAAGTAGACATGTACGGGTTGCCCGCTGATACGATCAAGAAAGAATTCAGGACGAGAATGGTGCCTGGAAACGGCTTGAATCCTGTCTACAACGAGGAACCGTTCCTATTTCGAAAAGTCGTGCTACCTGACTTGGCTGTCCTTAGATTTGGTGCGTCTTCATTAATTTGGAATAAATAGTTGATTTCGATCGAGGACTTCAAGAAGATGATTCAATATTGATCAAAGGAAGTTCGAATGAAATCGATTACTTGTATAGGAGTGTACGAGGAGAGTGGAAAATTGTTGGGACAACGTATATTGCCATTGGACGGTCTTCAAGCTGGGTACCGACACATTGCCTTAAAAACTGAAGCCAACTTCCCTATGGCGTTGCCTATGTTGTTCTGTAACATCGAGTTGAAGATTTATGTACCCGATGGATTCGAAGGTAAGCAACATTCAATACTTAGATACAAACCAATTGAGATATCAGTGCACATACCATGCAAACTAAACTTCGCCACTCGACGATTCTCATTCCGATTTAAGTGTTCTAACAGCGATCGTGCCTGATTTAAAAATAGAAATATAAGAAACGAGTGGATTAATATTCGTTCTTGTTTCAATTCTGATTCGCGCGCTTCTTGAGGATCGCAGACTTCATGGCCATGTTGTCCGATCCGGGAGCATTCGGCAAAGGAGCCGAGAAACAAGCCGAGACCATGAAAGGTCTTGGAATCGAGCAAACCGATGCAAAAGCCGAAGCTAAGAAGAAAGAAGAGGAGAAAGCTAAGAAAGGTAATATATATATTATATATCTGCTCGATAATGTAATTAACCGTTCGACATATGAAAAAGACATTAAATTGAGATACATAGAATTGATCGAGTGACTTCTCCAGCGGAGTGGAAACCAGAAACAATTACTATAGATCTTATGAAGAAAGAGAAAACATACAAATTAGGAAAGAAACAATTGAAGGAATTGGATACTTTGAGGAAGAAGCATCAGAAAGAGAGGCAGACTATGCAAAAGAATCATTGTACCGCTATTGAGAAATTGGCGAAAGGAAAGGAGTAAGTTCCTATCTACGAGAACGATGAAAATTCAAACGTTGATTTAAACAAATATTTGTTCGATAGTAAAAGTGCACTGTTGCAAGACGCGAACGTGAAGAAGGTAATAACCGAGCAGACTACTCAGTGGTCGGCAATGGTGGAGAAACAGAGAAAAGAAGAGTGGGAAATGTTGAAGGCTCAGGCGGAAGCCGGTAAGAGCGAGTATAAAAAGTTAATGGAGCTCGTCCAAGCATCTCAAGTTAAACAATTACAAGCGAAACACGATAAGTACGTCATTTCTATTTCTAATCGAACTACATTAAAATGACGCACGAGATATTATAAACTGATGGTTCAATCACAAATAACAGGGATATGAAGGATATGAACGCAAACCAAGTGAAAATATCCGTAGAGACGGCGAAAGAAGTTATGAACGATAAAGCCCTGAAATCGAAGGGCGACAAAGATCGCCGACTCCGAGAAAAGAAGGAGCAGAACACTAAAAAATTTATGCAGGAGAGGAAAACTGTTCAGATCAAACAAGCAAAGGAAAAGGAAAAGTTGCAGAAGAGCCATGAGAAACAGGCGGCGAATTTAGAGAAGGACGTCGAGGCGGTAATAGTCTATTTTGTTATATCATTTTTCTATATACATTAATTTTCTCCAGACACAATCTATGCCACTGATCTCTATAGAACAATGGATACTCAATTGGTAGAGACTGATCATTTTTTTTAATACGCGTCCATATTTCACTAATATTTGGGATCCTCCTCACTCCCCAGCTCGTGAGAGACGAGGACGAAGCATATAACATACACACCATTCTGTCATTGTTACGTTACGTTATCGCTCCCGAAATCAGAAGTTCGGGTGCGACCTCCTTTACTTCGGCACAATAGACGGAGGGTTAAAAAACTTAGAAGTATGATAAATCCATAACTTTGCAATAAATAACCGTAAATAAATGAATCTTCCGATGTTCGAAGCAGAGAAGCCTCCTCTTTAAAATTCTGTTTGATTCATCTCGGTCCAACTTTTGGTTCCGAAGATATCGTCGTGTGAAGACAAGCGTAATTTTTTCGGCGCCACTATTGCTATCCTTTTTGCACGTTGACCGACTAATGGATCTACCCCAATCTCCACCAGCCGGCTCCAGACATCTACGAAACTAGGTCACTGTGCGAGTAATACTAAACGCTGCGCCTAAACTTTGAAAATTTATATCTCCGGAACGAATTGAGATATCAGATTGAATGAGAAGCAATTTTTCTTGTCTATCAATTGAGAGGATTTTCAATCAAAAATTCAATGCCCGTGTTTCGATAAATTTATGTTTTTATTAACATGTATAACTTCTTAGAACTCGATAATGCTAAAGGCAGCGATCAGTAGCAATTTGCGCCTTTCTAATTTATCCATCATCGCGCTGGATTATTCGAGTAATCTAACAATAAGGGGAATGATTCCTGACGTTAACTTCCTATCCTCAGAATTAATCATTCAGTCAAGAATCATGCACGTGAAATAAAAATACTAATATCATTGACGTTCGGAACATTTTTAAAAGCGATTTTAATAATAGATGTAGTAGAAGAAATATTGGCTTATTTAGGAAAATCTAAATGACAAAAGTATCACTATACTCCACAAAAAATTAAATAAACAATCTTTTTTATTTCATTTTCTACCATTGTAGCGTTAGGATTATTTAATCTGTTGATAACATTACTATCCAGTGTTTTATAGAGACCTGTGATCTACACCCATTGAATTCTCTTATCTATATATGTATTTATCTTTATTGCAGACGATAGAAATGTATAAAAATGAGACGATTCACTTGGACCTGTCTTCGAAAACAGAATTCTATGTTTAAATTGAACACACTGTTCGATACCGAAGATTCGTACTTAAGAACAATTTTTAATTAATTTTAATTACATACAGTATTTACATTTGCTGTTACAATAAATATTATACGGTGTAAACTTATTTCTTGATAAACCCCTTAACGATTCTACTTTACATTACCATCTAAAATCTAAATGTCACGATAAGATATAAGATATAAAAGCGTTTAGACGGCAATTCAGATTCTCGCTCAACAATTACAACCGATATGGTTTTGATACCGCAAAGTCAAGTATTCGGCGACTAAAGTTAATTTCTTGATGTTGTTATGCAGTGCTCTCAAATGTTTTTTGAAATTCCTCGCGGCCAAACTCACTCCATTCTCGTTTTCGATTCCCGAATCAATTTCTGAGATTAGGAAATCCGATTCCGAATCAGAGAGATTTGATATACTGTTCATGGAAATGTTCCTGTCAGCTCTTAATACGAAATTAGTATCCATTTCTTCGTAAACATTGATTTTAATTGCGGAATCATTCTCAGTTTCCTGAAAACTGTTATCGAAATCTTTGAAAATAGAATTGGTTCTATTATCCAGTTCTGGAGAATTATTATTATCGTTTTTGAACGTGACGTTATTTTCCAGCTCCATTAAATTGCTGCTACTCTTAACCGCATGATTCTCCAAGTCTATGTAACTGTTACAACGACTACCGTAAACGAATTTAATCATATTGTTGTCTATTTCCTTATAATTGTTACAGTCCTGTGACCACAGTAACTCGACTTTCGTGCGACTGATGATATTATAAAGTTTGTACAAATCCATGTTAGCGACCGTTTTCTTAATTATAGACCCGTTTTTGGTATCCAAATTGATCTTTTCTGTGGAATCGCCCAACGTTAGATCGATCAACCGGCTGGGAATCAATATAGTTTTCTCCATTTCTCGCACCGTTCGAAGGAAATTATCTATCGACTGGAAAGTCGCAGTTTGGCTGAAGGATTCGTACTCGTTGTTTACTAATTTATCTATGCGACTGTTGACAAAAAGCGAGGCGTTGATTCAGATTTTCTGGCTATAACTTCTCAGTAGATGTAGAGATACGTTTCAAAGATCGAAAAGATTACGTATTCTACTTACTTTCTGCACAGCATTTTCCAAAATCTAAATTCACTCACGTTCAATCTGTACTTTCTGTAACGTGCGTGTTGTACACTTTTATCGGTTCGTAATTTCTGTAATATATCGTGGAATCAGAAAAGTTTCACGTAACGATCGAGTAATTCGATAAGAGTTCACAGACTAAAGAGTTCCCTAGCTACAATCGAGTGCGCACTGTAATAATTAATATTTAAATCTATTCGTTGAGAGCGAGAATTAATGAGACAAGAGGCTATCGGGTCATGATAAATATTCAGATTACCCGGTACGTGATCTTCCGTCAGGAATAATTATTTCACCTTACGTCTCAAACGTTTTGCGGCATTGTACGCCGGAGCCTTGATACTATTTTGTCAACCAGTGAGAAAAACAACCGTGGAAGGAAATTTCCCACTAGCTATCCAACAGTTCAACAACTCTCACGTCACTCTCTACACTTACATACGTACGCATTGAAATTAAAAAACTAGTGTCAGAATATTTATACCTAAAATGTGTTAGAACAAGTGAAAGGACTTAGAAGAAGAATAACATAAAAATTTATAATACGTGTATAATGTACATAATTTATTAATGAATCGTAAAAAATTATTAAGTCAAGTACAACTTAGTAATAATTATCGTGCTAAATTCAATATTGTCTTAATGCACCTCGTCGAATTGCAGGTTGACGATTCGGTGGTGTAATTGATATGTCTAAGTAATCGCCAATAGTGAACCTGCATTATAAACAAAATCACAAGCAATATGCAATATACATCACAGTTTCGAGATAATATTGAAGAATTACAATAAAATACAAAAGCGCGTAATACCTTGCTTGTGCCAATGTTTTATTATCATCAGCCCCCTTTTGTCCGGAACAGGTCACTCCAATCTCCCGCATTCTATAACCAGAATTCCTCATTTCTGGCGTTACGAGTGAAAAGTCAAAATAAGTGCCTTTACTTCTTGCGTCTGGATTCACTTCTTTGACCAATCCTGTTATCTCTCTTAAGGTTGCATCCATCCTATCAAATAGAATTTGGAACAATAATTCATTAATAAACGTTTCAATACTTCAGAACTCTTTGTCATAGTAGAATTTCTAAGATTCAATGTATCAAACATAATATCTTACTATTGATCCTACAATTAATCTCTCCCAGCTGATTTTACAACTGAAGCTTACAAATCTCCTTCCTATATACTAATTAGAAATTATAGTATACAAATATCTTTTTATTATATTTATTGTAGAATATTCACTGTTATAGTTCGAAGAGTATAAAATGTCTTACCAAGTGTATATTTGTAATTCATTCGAGGGAACGTTCCCTCTACTATATTCCATTATATTGTGATGCCTGCCAGTGTTGCAAAATACTCTTAATAGGAGTGGACAGGTCTGAAAGTGACATCAAACAATTAAGTCAACAATTAAAATAGATAATGAGGGATGCAAAAAGAAATTAGATAGCGAGGAGGTTAACCATCAGTCTATCGTACCTTTTCACGATCAATGGGCTTCTCCGGTAATTGTTTTTCATCGACCACCATCGATTCAATTGCAGAAGTCATATTTTTAATAATTTGGACAAACCAGCACGGAATGAACAATTATTATGAAACAAATGAATTGCGATATGTAAACAGGCAAACGAGACAAACTCGATTCAGTGTTGTATGTGTGTGTTCGATGCATACGACGCATGCGTGGCGTCTTACTCTTGACTTCATTAAATGTAAATGTATACAAATCGTAAATTAAACCGGTGGTTGAGACATCAAATAAAGGGGTCTAAGTATAGCAGAGCAATAATTTATTCTTTAAGCATTTTTACACGTGCATCTAAATATAAGGCAAGTATACGGTTTTTGTTCGAATAATCAACAATTGTCGTCGCACTCGGTGATGTAAGGCAGCGAGCACTCATTATGTTTCATACCAAACGTAAAGACAGGAGTTGGTTTCGGTCCTTTTGGGAAATATTTCGGACCCGGCGAAGCGCACACTTCCTTGAGGGGGCGCGATTGATAGAAGGTGAACATCGGTGAACTTGGCTTAGTTAATTTGTCACTGTAAAACTTTCCCATTGGCGTCGGATCACATTTTAGATGTGGTAGACGCCTCCCTCTGAAAGGAAAACATAGATTAAGTTAAAGAATCGTAACCATTACGTACTTTGAAAACGAATTTGCATAATGAATCTGCATAATAAAACTATGATTTTATCAATGTAACTCACAAACTATGATTTTATCAATGTAACACAATTTTTCAAATCACTTTATCCATGAGTACGAAAACGATTGATACTGACATAGTGAAAGCGGGGCCAGGTATAGGTAGACGACAATCGTATCCACCCGGTGACACGCAATCCGCTCTTGGTTTAGTTCTTATGCCAAACCTGAATGCCGGTCCCTTCTCTGACGGTAATACGTACTTGGGGCCCGGAGAGCAAGTAGCATCTTTTTGAAAAACAGCAGCGTTAACGAGGTAAGATGTCGCGTTCAACGAGGATCATTAACGCGTATAAGATGTATGAATATATAACATACCGGAGTAGTATGATCGGTGACCAAACGTATATCCACCCTTCAACGGTAACTCATAGTAATGCGAAGGTCCAGGAGTTCTACATTTCTCTAGTAATCGGAATGGAGGATACAAGGAAAAAGCTGGACCACGCTCTTTCGATAAACAATGGTCTTTGTAGCCGACTAACGGCTTCAGGAGATACTTCGGTCCAGGACCTGGAGGATGAATGTTCGTGTAGTGGCTAAATTATTATACAATTATTTCTGCTTACTTCGAATAAGGCATAGGGCGGGCCCAGTCTTTTTATTCACTTTCGGTTTTTCGGGTTCGCTCGTTCCTGCTTCGGGACCTTTTGATGCCATTTCGAATCAAGCTTTTTTTTTAGATTTTTCTACTTTTTAACGTTTGCTTTCAGTTATTGTTCGTTACCATTGTTACTTGTTAATTTTCGTTAAATTTTGTTGATGTTCGATGTGCTATTTCAGTCGTGCTGTTTTGGTTAAAATATTTGCTGCTTTGTTTTGGTCTATTCGCTGAGTGGCGAAGCAACTATGTGAACATATCGTTCTTTTAGAAGTAACATAAATCAGTCCGTTCCTCATAAATATACGTACATACACGCTTTTAAGTAAATGACAGCAAAGATTTGATATAAAATGCGACACGAGACTGCAAGATTCATAAAACTGTAAGGAAGACTCATAAAGATAATTATTGTGTACGATTTGTAGAATAATACGATTTGAAAATATTCATTCTGCGCGCGCTGTTGAAGGGTCTACTTATTTGACTCCGGTAGTACCGCGCGCGTTCCTTTCTCTTTTCTCGGCGGGCTTGCAGGTGAGTGTACGTCTTGCTCGTTTGTACTATAAGAATTTTCGTCATATTTGCCTACAATTTACTTTTCGTGTGCCCCAAACATTAAAAAACATAATCATAGCGAAAGGGAAACGTGAATTCGTTATTCCAATCATATATTCATTAATATTTCGTTAAAAAACTTGAAAGAGACATCCTGTGTTCACGTTTGCCTATAATGCATTAAGAGTTTACAATGTACGCGATGTATGCTATATATAAAAGAATCTAGCTTATATATTCGATGAATGTCGATTGTTCGTTAAGTTTTTATTGCTGTCGAAGTTCTTTTCATTATAATTAATTTTTTTGTACGGTTAAAATTTCGATTGCTGACTCGTGTCAGCCATGTTGAGTTTCGACCAATCACGTTCGATCTTTCAAGCACAGCGTCATAGCCTGTCATGGAAGCGACAACGGTGCGGTGACTTTTGGCGAGTCTCACATTTTTACATATTTTACGTGATCAACAGTGTTTGTACCGTCAAGTTATCAATAATTTTGGAGAGGAAAGCATCCAGGACATCTTTTAGGCATTTCCGGCGTTTGGCAACGAGTATTTTCAGCAAGATGTAAGTTGAAACCTCGTCTCTTGACGCGTAACCTTCGACAATCTCGCGAACAATTTTTCATCGTAATGTGCATTAACAAATTGAACGTAAGGTAATAATTAGAGGTAAAATAGGATTATCGTTGTACGATATCGAACATACACGTAATATAGGTTATTGCGAGTTTGTAGTAATTTCATGCGTACATACGTCGCATTGTGTTAATTACGTCACACATAGAGCGTGTACGCAAAGGTATACGCTTTGTAGTGGTAGTTATAAACATCACGTACGAGGACTGGGGTTTTCGATTCAGATATTTAGATACGTCTTGCCGAATGGAACGTTTTTTTTGTTGCCATTCGATCGTAGTACGTACGAAAGGAGTTTGATACTCGGAAAACGAGAACAAGTGTAGTGAACGGTGCATATTCATATTGAAAATAGATGAATTTTTGACAAGTGTTCCGATCAATCGGAAATTTAAAGGAAATGGTAAGACAGTTAGAATAACTTATGAATTAGGATTTTCATTGCAACGCCAGTTATCAAAACCCGTGCTTGATATATATCGGCGCGGCGGGAATATACCTTCACGATCAGCTGCGAGAAGAACCAGAAAATACATGCAAATTCGTCGTTTCTGTTTTATTAAATACCGAGTCCTTTTCTCTCCTTACTAAACGATTCTCTGTTTCAGAATAATTGTTTTACTGCGCGCAGTGCGGTCGGCAGAGTCAGTGCTTCTCGTGCAATAATTACCATTTCCTTTTAATAATGAAATAAAATTAAAGTCAGATTTCTCTTCGTATTAATTAATTTGCTTGATTAGCATCAGTGTTTGTTCGTCGATCATAATTTACAATTAGTTAGCTTCTATTTTTGAAAATGCTAATTTGCTGTCGGTATTAGAGTCTCATCAAGCAAGAAAAAGATGCGAAGAACCTATATGCTCTACATGTAAGCAAACATGTATCTCTCCGTCTTTTGTTATTTTTCTTAATTCTCTTAGCTTTGAAGGCAAATAATAAATATTTTTTGCTTGTTTTAAGACTGATTACAGCATTTCCACGTCTTCCTCGGCTCCTGTCGGTTACAATGGATCCTCCCGATGACGATAACGGCCCAGGCTGGTTCTCGATTAAACACAGTAAGTTTTGCATATTTTTTCGATCGAGTGTCAGGACGAAAAGTCCAACACGACACAAGCAACTGGTTGTATTATATATCATAATGTAAGTTTGACGAACAGGACGTCTGTGGGTATTTAATATTTACATATATACTCACGAGAAGTATCATTTTATTTTATCTGAACATACTATTTTAATCGTTTAATAATATTTAATATACGTTCGTGTACGTATCGTTAAACGAATTTGGAAAAGAGATGGGGTATTAAAATCCTTTAAATAAGAAACGTTTACACGATTATAAATTTTCAAGAAGAATGAATTAAGAAATCGTAAATTTGTAAAACGTAGTTTATTTGATACAATCAATATCATAATTGCTGGACCCTGTAGATACTCCTTCTTATGAGATACAAAATTCTATTTTACATTTTTTATTTGTTGGTATATCCTTTGATTTTAAACTTTGATCAGACCACAAAGTTTGGATTCCAAGTATAAAAAGAGACTTGTAAAAAGTCCGAACCGGATTAAGTTATGTAGTAGGGCACATTACTTCGTTGCTCTATCAAAGTCGTTATGGCCAGATCTATGTTGTCTGGCAGGTGATCTAAAAACATCCTGGGCATTACGAGCAATTCCATAAAGTCCTCCGCCTGAGCCCATCGCATCTCGTACTTAGCTTTCGTGTTTTGTTTATTGCTGAAAAGAGAGATTTTCATATTATTTTTTCATTAAATGAAATGAACAGTTCCTCGAGTGAACTGCAAAACTATAATCCTTTTCTGTAATGAATGTGTCAGGTCTCATTGCTTTCAATGGGACTTGATTGGCTTCTTTTTAGAAAAGAACAATAGACACACATAAGTACCTTCTTGCTTCATTTTTCTCCGGTTTTCTTCTAATTAAATGAAGGATTTTACCTCCCGTGTACAATCTAACTTTGGAGAACCTCCTTTTAGTTACATCTTGCTCGTATATCTTTCCTTCCTGTAACATTAATTTCGTTAGTTTCATTGAGTCTAGTAGCGAATACATATTTTCTATCGCGTTGGTGGACCTCGGAATAGTGTTAATCGTAAGTTTGCTTACCTCTCTCTTATAAATGTCTCGCTCGTTTAACAACGGTGACGTACCCGCCGCCGTTGTAATTACATTACAATTGGTCCAAGTTTTGCTCAGATCCTTCTCAGGTATACCGAATAGCATGTATCCTAATCCGTTCAAAACTACTCTGTACTAGAAATAGAACACGGTCATCGTTTCTAGCGTTGCAAATGTTGCGTCGTTAAGAAAACAATTGGTAATTTAACACGTTGTTTAATCCAAAGACTTATGAATATGCAATTAATTATATTTCGCGATTAGTACCTTGGGAAGACGACACGCTTGGAGAGTCATTAACAAGGCTGTCCTTAGATTCTCCGTACTATCAACGCCCAGTCTCATTACAAAGTCATCCCCGAGTCCAATTGTAAAGACGAATTCCTCCGTTACTCGAGCAGCCTCTCGCGAGAGTAGACCCGCTAAATAATTTATCACAGATTCATGATATAATTAACATGTCGAGATTGATTCATCATTTTATAGTGGATTTGTACCTGGGGTCGCGAACGCGTAAACTTTCACATTTGGATATCGTGGACGTATTAGAAGAGCTAATAATATTCCTATACCAGCACCTAGGCTATGACCTGCGAATAATCAATCGTGGAAAATTCATTTAAAACAGGTAGATTATAGGACGGTTGCAATAGTTGTTTAGTCGACGTCGATTACCTGTAATCGTTAAATTATAATGCGGATACGTGAGGAAAGCATGTTCCAAGACTTTATTGTCATCCAATTGTCTTAGAATCAGTTTAGCACTCGTTATCATGGCCCTGTGTGCCTGTAACATCGCTTATGAACTATATTATAATGTCGCGAATTAAATAAGCTATTTGATAATCACCTGAGATCCCGGCGGGAGGCCCTCGCATTCGAAACTTTCTGAATCTGCAGCTATGTCCGTGAATATGTCGCGTATGGACAGAGAACCACGTATAACGATAACGATACAATTCATTTTATGATCAACTACCACACAGAACGGTATCTGAAAGGTGCATCCGTTTTAACAATCCACCCCTTTCATCTTCGGATTTTTTTTTTTATAAAGATACGGGGTACTGTTGTAATGTGACGAACCTCGCATAAGTAATTTTTAAAAGATGCATAGAGAATGTCGTCCGTGGAAATGCCTGACATTACTTTAACACCGGCTAAATAGCAGTAGCAACAATTATCGCCGGTAATCGCGTTATGCTTCGTTCTGAAATTGATTTAATATGAACCGATTGGTATCCATAATTGCAATTGTATCGGCTTACCGGAAACAACCGCAACAAGTCAGGTTTCGCATAATATGAAAGCAGCCGGGACATGACTGTTTGTAAATAGCGTATAACCATCCGTAACAGGCCGATGCGAGTTTCATGTAGTGGATCGCGTTATCTAGCGACATCCACGACGGTGCGTATCTAAAAATTTCGGCTTCGTCTACCGAATAAAAAATATCTCGATCACCGCGTTTGCAAGTATTTATACAAAGTTGTCTATGTCAATTTCTTCTTCGATTTTACTACCATTTCTAATTCTAATTTTATTAAACAAAAAGACGCACCGGAAGTGTAAGTAGCGGCTCTCGGTAAAATATTTAACCGACGCAATTCATGAGTCTCGCGCTTCTGTCGGATTCTCAACAGAATCAATCCAGCCATCACGTCCGATGGTACTAAATCTGTTCCACGGAACAAATTTGTCAACAAACCTGACAATCGAAAGGAACCGGTAGTTAGTCGGTGCAGCAATTATTCAGGCGAGCTTTTTTCTATTAATAAATCGTTTTTCGTCGTATGTCCTTTGACCTCGTTACGAAGTTGTAAATAATTAATAAGATCGGATGACCGCAAAGTGCAATCTCTGGTAAGAATGATTAAACCACGACGAAGTGTCATAAATTATCGTGGTTTTCTAGAAATCCTTGGATCTTAACGACCAAATCTGTGTGTTTGCGTAACGAACGACAGTTTTTATATTTGTTACGACGAAAACCAGGATAATGTCTGTGACGTATGTATACGCATACTCATACAATACGCATACGCATATTAATGTATGTATACGCATGCTCATTTGGCATCGTGTACGCTCTTTTTATTCACGGTCTGAGATCATAATTATCCAGTACTTATGTAATTAACGTCCAACGAGGAATACATTTTATCTTTCCTGCATGCTATTAACCCTTGCCTCAGAAAAAAGTCCTGCCCGTAGAAAATCGGAACAAACCGAGCCAATTACGGATACGACGTATAGAAATGCGTTGCTCGTTCTGCGGAATCTAAACTGTTCCAATCCCGATCGGAGGCAGGACTTTTTTTTAATTGATAAAAGCCGTACCTATGTCTCACCAGCGACATGTTGAAAAGTCTCGTTCGCGTTCTCGTCTTTTCTCATCCAGCACATGAAATTGAGCCTCCTTAACCAGATTCTGCTCACTTTCTCGTGCTCCGTGTAGCTGTCCAAATTCTTTTTACCCAGAGAACCCAACGGGTCGAATATCAACGCAAGACCGAATATGGTCAAACCGATCAGGATCCAGTCGAAGAATATCAGAGCCTGGACCACGGTCACGGTGTAATGCTCGTAATCGCATTCCACGTTCGAGCCGAACATCCATAAAGTGCCTAGCACGTTCCAGCATATCTCGGGCAGCAGTAACAGTATTCTGTAACAGTTACGATTAACGTCGCAGTTAGAAAAAAAAAGAGCTCGAAATTACATAAGCTGTTCGATCGTACCGAGACTAGGAGAAAATGCGCGTTACATAAATGGAAATTATAAACGAAAGCAAATAGAGTGTGTACAAAGACATTTTTAACTCGCGAAACGGTGCGACGTGTAAATAATGGTAGTTTGTACTTGTACACGCTGACTATATGATTAGGTGAACATGCTTACTCACTTAACTGTCAACAGTGGTTCGACGTATTTGCGGATTTGCGCTTCCATTATGGATCCTTTTGAACTTTGCTTCGCTATTACTATCACGAAAATCAATGATATCAGTAGAAATACTATTTCACCGAGGAGGTACACGCGGACCAGTTCGCCGCCCGATCGACAATCCCACGTGTATTGGTAGTATTTTAGACAGCCGGTACCGATCAGTATTAGCCTGACGAACGTGCAAATCACGAACAATTATCTAATATATGTATTCGAGTTTATAGAGTACTCACCAAACGGTTCGTATAAAAATTTCGAACAACCCCGGGTAAACGAGATCGTCGGTCGCCGCCAACCATTTTCTTCCGAAAAGCTTTATCGCCGGCATAGTTTTCTTTCCTGTGAAAGGAATGTCCTGATTGAATACTTGTCTTCGTTCTCGAAAGAAACGCTGACCAAGTGACAAAGCGATCTCGATAACAAACGCGAAACGTGATACCCGAGCAAAACAGTCCGCGCGTAATTCGAACAAAAAGTAACGTAATAATTATGGCAGATAAACAATGTGCCAGTTTGATCGGTCTCGAAGATCATGCACGGAATCGAATCGAATTGAACGCGGATAAAAAATATGAAATAGACGGCGGAATAGTGCGTGCAGTTTAATATCGCGAGGCACGCGTTTATTTGTTTGATCTGGGAACTAGCTGCTGACCAGAGAAAGCGCTTCGACTGCTTCTTACAGGCTTAGAGTCTTAGTTTAGAGAAAGTCTTTGTCTATCTCCCAGATCCGAGGTATCTTACATACTGAGACCAGACGCGAGGCGACGCATTGACGCACGTAACTCTAAGAAGCCGGTGTACTGTTGGACCCGGACCACATTTCCGTTTTGGTTTAAAACGTTTAACTCTTTTAAATTCGTTCACGAAAACAAAACCGAATTGCTGTTTAATTATGCAACGCGATCGTTATGCGCGATCCAAATATTTTACGTAAAGCAGTTTTCTACCAGTTTAGTGTTATGTATGCTCATGCGTATATAACAAGGTTTTATATATGTGTAATTACGACAGCCAATATCTGTACTTCAACCCGGTGGGACAAAAAGTATTTTTCCTGGTATTCGTACTCGTTCTTCAATAAGATATAAATGCGATATTTTAACAAAGCGTAAGGAAGCGAGTTCGTGACGTCACATGAATTCCAAGGCACGATGAAAATGCAAATGTACACGCGCATATTTATCATGGTTATTGAAAAGTGAGTGTGGCAAAAAAGTTGGTAACGTCTGTCGGCAGAGTCGGCCGTATTCTCTTCGGTATCGGGGTTTTCTGAATTTTTTTCAATAACAAATGAATCTCAAACTTTGACGGATAAGAGACGTATCGAAACGCATGGAAGCCAACAAGGATTGGGATTAGAAATGTTCGGCTTCTTCGCATAACATCGCAAGCTTTTACGTACATATAACAGCAGCGTATATTTAGCTCGTTAGCGCGGTATCTCCTCGAAAAGTCGAAATCATTCACGAGATTCCACTTTCCCGCACAGATTTACACTAACACTTAACGCGCGAGGTCCCGTAAAGCGTGACCGGGCATATAGGATACCGTTTTAGCTACTCGACCAACGAGTTTTTTCGGTTTCTTTTAACGCCGTGGAAGGTCTGGTTCACTCATAATTGCCTCCTCGATCGCGATCCACGATCCGCGCGACGACAGTACGATTCAACGGCGACCCGAAAACCGCTGAGCCAGACGGTTTTGTTGCTTAACTCGCCTGTTCAAAAAAGAAGAAGAGATATTTCCAAAGATTACTGTAATTATCTCTATGTACTATTGCGTCCGTGTTAACGTTCGTCTACTCGTCCTCGGGTTAAAATCAAATTACGCAAAACACGAATTGAGTCATCGAAATTAATCGGTTACGTATGCCAGGAATTTATAATTTACGTTCTCTACTTATATTTTATGACGAACTTTTCTTATTATTCTATAACGCTTCCGACTCTTATTATGTAAGCTATAAGAGCACAGCAATTGGTTCTAATTAACTTTCGTTTCCTGGTGTTATAACTGATTAAATTAAGAAATAACTGATTGAACGGTGAAATTGCAGATTTTTCGTGGATTCCGTTCTGAAAATGTTCGTTGGTTTTTGTTTTTGATTTCGCAATAATTCGTTAGATTCGTCGTTCCACAATTATGTCACTCGTAAACAAACGTTGACTCACGATTTTCAATGCAAAGGAGAGTAAGAAAGGATTGTTAGATCAGGCAAAACGTAGGTATTCGTCGAGTGTGAATATGGGAAAATTCAGGGAATTCGTTCACTCTGACACCGGAGAAAAGACGAAGCACTAAATTCAAGCGAATCGAGAAGGCATTATTGAACGTCTTGCGAGAAATTATTCGACTCGTAGTTGATTCAGACACGCGCGTCTTGGCTGGCGAAGGAGCAGGCAAACCCGTTCACCTTGTTTCGTGGCACCCCGGCGACTGTCCGGCAGGAACTTTCCCTTGGTCGTTGCACGTTTGTTGGTCCGTTCGTTTGCTTACGAACGAGGCGACGAGACGACGGCGACGAAAGGAAAGAAGCAGAGAAGTTGCGTCTTTGGACCGCGCGCGGTAGGAGAACAGGTGTCTTCCGAGTATACGCAATTACGACGATCGTTCCCATGGTCGTCAAGTACCAGATGAAAATATATTCAAGTTAGCCGTTCTACGGAAACATGCCATCCAATCTTTGAACTTCGCGGTTCACAGATTTTATGGCTCATGTATTTTTTCCTATTTAAATTTCTTACAAACGTATAACATAGGCTATTTAACAATTATAATGGCAATGGGTAAGCTGAATCGTTTGGGTGGTACGCGATTGAATTGTAAGTTTACTGGTTTAAGGTGACGCGCGATCAATAACCATTGTTTAACATTGCAATGATCGATCCGTGCTTTACATTATGGCCTAGTTCACCTAGAATTTGACCTCTGCCAATCGTGAACTTTGATTCTATCGTTGAGGCGATCGATTCCATAGCTCGAAAATGCAAATGTTAGTTTCCGTAAGAAAGTTAGTCTTCGGACACTTGAACTGAAGTTCTTCGTAAAGTTTTTCAGTTCAAAGAATTTGAAATGGAAATACAATGGACAATTGTGTTCTTCGATGTTTTCGATATACAAGAAATAGACCTTTCAATGTTACAAAACACGTTCTTTTCAAATTATTATTCAAAATTGCGTAGGATTTTTCTTTTTAGAAAAAAAGGACTTGTTAGTCAGTGTGCTAGATACATACTCGATGAATAAAAATGTAACGACGGAAAATATTATATATTTAGAAAATCTATATATATATTTAGAAAAAATTACTGATACTAACGTAACGATAAAATTATAAAAAATTTTCCACTCAGTCAATAATTAATAAAGATTTCGAAGACGATTATGTTGCCGTTGGCTGTATACATTTTTCATCAGAAATTAATTCAGTGTCACGATTTCAAATGCAAATATCGGTTGCAAAAAGTTTAGTAATCGTCGTGTGAATAACTAACAACACACGTTCGCTTGTCAATTAGTAAAAAAAACTTGTTTTTTAGTCGCAAATATATTATTCGCAATTAATAATATATACTGTTTCTTGTCATGATGATGGACATAAAGATTTTATACAATCGTGTAAAACTTCAACTTCTATTTATTCTAATCATAAGTATAAGTATTAGAAAATGGGAATTCTAGGGTTGTTTTCCACAATCAGTTGATAATGTTGTAAATAACATGGAAACTGTAATGGGACATTAGAGTTCGAAAAAACAGGAGGTAGACGAATATCGTATCATATCAATAATATTCCAAAGATTAGACTTTGGAAATGATACTATGCCAAGTCTCACCACGTGGAGATAACTACGAGATCCTTACACTTGACTAACGATCCTCTTTCCATCTAAATTCACGCATCTCTTACGCAAAGCAAATATTGCAAACTAGATATTTTATTTACGACATAACAATTGTTTTACTACTTTGAATAGTAAGACACTAAATCGTATTTGATAAAGATTGAAAACATAGAAGACAATTAAAAATGCTGGATTTTGCTTATTGCTAACCAGCGTTAAGCCGAGAAAAACACCTGCATGGAAGGAACATCGAGGGAGCACCGACCACTGCGACCCGCCTTACAGCCCATGAGGAAGGAACCGGCGTCTTGCAACAGGCATTACCATCCAGTACCAACATCAGAGCCGCTGGCTTAGTTACCAGTCAAGCAAAATCCAGCAACACTATAATTGCTTGTGACGCGAGAGATTTCATAAGTTAACTAACAAAGAAAACAGTTTAAAACGATATGCTAATGCGTAAATTGCTTTGCTTTGTATGAGAGCGGACGTCGACATTATGCAATATGTACAGTCGCCCTGTTTTAACGAATGCGAGTTAATGGCCGGTTAATTAATATTCAGACTCGTTGCTTATTCTTGAGATCGTCTTAAGAATTTGCTATCCCTGTCTATTCTATATTTCCAGTTCTTGTCTTGTACAGGAAACAGGATCTTAAGCAAATACTTAAGACGATCTTAAGAATAAACAATGACTCTGAATACCGGCCAATGATCAACCTATGAGGTGCATTGAGGGTCCAGATAAACAGAGGTCGTAAATCCCTGTTCCGATTTCTATCAGTGTCTCTAATCACGCATGACTTTACGACAGTTTATAGAGATAGAGATATTAATTAATTGAATATGGATTTCAGTATTTATAATTTAATAATCACTATTAACAAATGCAATTACATCAGCAGAAATATCTCAGAGTACCTTGACACTGTAACGGAACGCAAAGGTAAAATCGTGTCGGAGAGTTCGATATGGTCAGTAATGGTTGACAAGCGAGAGTGTCTCGAAGCTAGAGATGGCGTAAACTGCTACTTTTGGATCACGTGCGTTCCAAATCACCGAGATTTTTCACGATGATCGTGATTTTCGTGATCGCTTCTCATTGATAGAGAGTAGACTGTGAATTTGTAAACTGTGATTCGTGATTCACAATCATCATAATAATCGAATGACTGACGCCTGAATGAATGAATGATTTTACGATCATTGTGATAAATAATAATTAATGATTTTGAACACCATCTCTAGCCTGAATCCTCTCAGTTAATTAAAAAATCAGGAACATTCTGTCTGTGACCTTCCGGTAGTGGGAGTATGGATTCCTTTGTCCGGATTCGCCACGTTAAAACAAGTCCCACATTTGCGTTTCACCTGTTTTCGACCTTTACCTTGAAGTGACTTAGGGTGTTAGTGAAAGTGTTTTATTGCTGGGCTAGTTGCCGTAATGCTAAAAAATGGTCAGTACGTGTTACGCAGGGGTTTCGGTTATTTACAGTACATTTCTATCGTTCTTTGTGTAAATACGAAGTACGGATGGGTTTAGTTTAAGGATGTATTGGCTATACAGTCAATCCCAAACGTTTATGCACTCTAGAAACGCATTTTTTAAAAAGAAATCAGACGTCGGAAGAATATTGCTAATAATAAACAACAACAAAAAATTTTCGATTTTTCCGAGATTTTTCCAAGGGGTACCCCTTCAATTTCTTCCAAATTTTCGTTTTTTGCCAATAACTTCCAAACCGTTGGATCTACGGGAAAATTCCATCAGACCTTTCTTGTAGAGGACGACGAGATCTACAATTTCCATATAAAACTTTCTCGCTAGTGTCAATAGTTTCCGAGTAATTTGCAAAAAACTGTTTTTTCGTTTTTCGTCCATAACTCTTTAAATATTAACGCTAGCGGAAAACTGTTATACAGAAATTGTAGATCTCGTCGTCCTCTACAAGAAAGGTTCTATGCAATTTTCCCGTACGACTAACAGTTTAGAAGTTATTAAGGAAAAACGAAATTTTTTGCGAAAAGTTCTCCGTTTCGACGCTGGGATGGTCGGATTTTGTCAACATCAATAAAATGCCAAATAATCGTACGTAACTCGTTAAATATCGAAATTAGAAGGAAAACAACTTTTATTTGAAGCATTTTTCGCAATTTTGAAAATTTTTCGTCAGCGTCAATACTTAATTAGGTATTTCCTTCTATACTTTTTAGCACGTAGCTATTTATTATTAGCATTATTCTTCCGACGTCTGATTTCTTTTTAATTATAGGAAATGCGTTTTTCTAAGGTACATAAACTTTTCGGATTGACTGTATAGCCAGTACATCCTTAATGTCCCTTTCGTTGTTCCCTCATGTTTCATTTTGCATTAACATTTTGAAATTTAGTACCGCGCGTAAAAGCCCCGTCAGAGTTGTTCGATCTTTGCACAAGATTATTCAGGGGGTTTAACAATAAGAGAAGACGCTCTTTCGTCTCTAATCCTCACTTCCAGGATTAATTAAGGATCATATGCATGAAATAAAATTACCAAAATCTTTTACAGTTCATTTATTAATCAGAATTTCTATAACCCGTTGATAACATTGTGGGTGACAAGGAAACCGTAATAAGGCGGATAATAATGTATAAATTGTTGCTTTACCTGTAGTTAGTATACCTTTAAGCAAACTTGAAGCAGCTCCAGCAGATGGCATAGCAAGTATGAAGGGCACAAAATATTCAGTTTCATGTGATAAACGATAAAAAAAAGCGCGTTGTGGTGAACGAGTAATTTTTAATTCACTTCCGAGATGCTTCTGCAATCTATGCAAAAAAATTATGAAGTTAGTAAATTATATATACAACTGGTACAGAGAATTCAATGTTTCCCATTGGTCCGACTAGTAACAGGTTTATACTACTTGGTCAAAGTTCTTTGCACGGGTTTCCTTATTTATCATCGAACGCGTTCGACGTCGTCTGCCTCTAAAAATAAAGTATACTATACATACATAGATGATGCGCGTCGCATTAATTAACATCATCTCCGGAGAATTTAGTGAATAGATAGCCGCAGGTTTCGATTCGAAGAACGCGTTGTAAACGACCGTCAAAATTTGACGGGAAGAGAGAATAGAAACAGGATCGTTGACTTTCTGGTTTCGTGATCGTTAATACATTAAATCAGTCCCGGGAGGGGTTATTACCGAGTTTCGTGTGTAGCTTAATTTAACCAAATCAGAGATTTCAATCTCGCTTCGCATATAGTCGTGTAGCTATTTGATTAGGTTTCGAGCTTCTTCGGAATTGGGTCACATGTAAATGAAACTCGTAAATCTATTTCCCTTTCTTCTCGTTCGCCCATTTTTTATTTCGCATCGACGTTATTCGGAATTAATGGTAACAACGAATTTGCGACACGAACGTCGTTCTCCTCTTACAATATACATATATAGTCGATAGTTCGCAGTATGAAGACGTATCGGTATAAAAATATTAGTGTCTGTATATAAAAGAGACGTGAATTTTAACGTAGGTAAAGTATAGGAGCATTTAAGAGTCACGGGAAATATCTTTCTCCGTGCACCTAAGTAGTTGCGTACTATAATATGTTACGCGTGTGTATCTGGGATATAATTTACTACTGTTTTCTCCCGTTGGCAATCGATCAAACGGTAACGGTCAT